AAGAACAGGTCGGTCTCTGTTGCTCCTGTGCAGGATTTGCCTTAGGAATATAGAGAAATGCAGCTAGGGAAGAGTTAGAAATAAATGCTGAAAGCCTAATTTTATTTCTCACACAGAGGAGAGATAATGGGTGGAACTGAGCACTTGCAAATAGCACAGATGCACAAAGCAGGAGGCACACCAGTATTAAGCAAGGACCAGGAAACACAGAATCTGTAACCAACTGATTCCTCACAAAATTTTCAGCTGGCCTCCAAAGGAAAGGCCAGGTGTTGGAACTTCATAAAATGTCCAGATCCACACAGACCACAAGCAGAGTGTCACTGCAGGGTAAGTTCAACATGCAAATAACAAATGAAAAAGGAGACATATACCCACTCACAGGAACTTTTGTCCAACTGTCCCTCCAGTGGAGTTCATTAGGAACTCTGCTTCATCTTGGCACACGTCAAGATATCACAGGCAAGATATCTCCTTCTGCTTTGATTGAAGAGACTTCTGGGTTTGGACTTGGTAGCATTCAGACCCAAACAGCCCTTGTCTGTGTTCCAAGCCAGCAGCCCTCGTGTCACGAGTGCCCTTGTGTCACGAGCACTTGCTCTCTCTGAGTGTGCAGCTGCTACTGGGTCCTACCCCACTTCTCACTGATTGTTTGCATGTTGTATTTTGCTTTACCCAACTATCCATGGCTTTTGAAATCCTTTTGTCTTGGAGGAGATTGCAATTTATTTTGCTCACAACATCCTCCAGTGTGCACGTCAGCAGCGTAATGTACTGATGCCAATGCGAGTTCAAATATGGCCCAAACTAGAATGTGGGGCAGGCCATTACATTTACTCTTTTGCTCCTTTTTCTGTTTTCTCTAAATCATTCTTTGCAGCCTGACATTGATCTATCTTGCTAACATGAGATTGCCCACTCATATCTCATTTTCACTTAGCTAACACTTCCCGCTGTTTCATGCTAACAACATCCAAAGCATCTCTCAGCATCAGCACAGGTGGCATGTGACATCAGAATTGAGTTTTTATATTAGTATTCAAAACAGATCTGAGAGCAGTTGGAGTTCCCAGAACTGTAACCAGTAAGAGTGTTTTGTTTATCGAAACCAGCTGAGTATCAGTAAGAGGAGAAATTAATTCAGAAGGTGCTCAGCACTGGGTGGGACCAGCCCTCTAAGACGGAAATTCTGGCCTAACTGTTTTAACGACTGCTTCCTCTCCCCACTATCATTTCAGTGCTGGCTGAAGCAGGTCAGTTCAAAAGAATTGAAATTAACTTTTAATCACGCTTTTGCAAAAGTTTGCCACTGTTTGTTTAGATAATTGTCAAGTTCCAGCTTTACTATGTATTGGCTCAGGCAATTTGTGGTGCGAACACCTACGCCTTTGCACTGTAATAGTAAGCAAACAGAACAATAAGTAACAGTAAGTATCAGTAAGCAGGCAGAACTATAAGCAGAGAAATAGGCAACCCCAAGCAGAGCTGTATGTAGCAGCAAGTAGGCAGCAGCAATAAGCAACTTCAAGCAGAACCACAAGCAGTCCACTAGTCCCTGACCACAAAACGGTTCCCCAGTCCTTTAAAGAAATGGCTCCCAAGTGCCCCGGCATGAGACAGCCATGGAAACCCCTGCTTGTGATAAAACTCTCTTATTTCTTTCCTACAATACCATGATCAAACACTTACAATCATTCTTTTGCATCTGCCTGAAGGTAAGCCAGCAAGATAAACCAGTAGGAGGAAGGTAATGGTAGGAGTTGCTTCTCCCTTAATTGCACATGAGGAGGACAGTGGAATTAGCTCTGTCCTTGGACCAGATCCATATGTGATACAAACCCTCCACTTCATGATGTTATTAGTGCCTTAGGTTGAATCTCAATTCCTTCTTTGGCCCTTAGGCTGCTCAGCATCTAAGAAGAAAACAGATGTAAGAAAAAAAATGTAAAGCCAGCAGTGTTCAAGTGCTTGTTCTCACTAGGCAAGGAATGCCCTCTCTCCATGATTTCCACCAAGCATTGTCCATGTCTGATTGTAAGTGCCACTGCTCGTCAGCCATGTGGATTGGATGTCTGCAGTGATGAGCTTTGTTTAAGAAGCCAAATAAAAGCATTGACCCAGGTCAGCATGGAGTGGGGTAGGGGTAAATATCCATGGCATATCCTTTCAGGTGTAGGCACCGTTCCCAAGGCTTTGTCTCCTCTTTCTCCAGACACCTCTTCGCTCAGCTGAACCTGCCTCTTTTTGCTCTTGTTCTGGACACCCTGTGCCTCCGTCCCATGCTCCAAGCTCTCAGCATGCCTGTTTTTTCTTACCTTTTTACCCACCTCATGCTGTCAACAACCAGCACTTTGGAGAAAAAAAAATGCTGACCCTGGGACTTTCCCCACCTGGGTGATCAAACTCTGATGTTCTTAATTACTACTCTCATGTCCTCAAGTAGGAATGTCTTTGTTGAGAAATCCCATGTAGGAGGCTGCTTCGTGAAAGGAGTGACTGCAACAATGGCAGCATAAGCTGCTCAGTTCAGTGGTAGGAAGTAGGTTATTTCTAATACCATGACCTCTGCTGGTGGTGTGAGCTGAACTCTAAATGTCTTGTCCCCCTGGTCATTTGTGCCTGAAGCAGTAGGTGCAAACAGGGCTTCTCAGAGCCCACCATCAATCCTGAGCTTACATTTGATAACAAGAGCAATGCTGGGTCTAGTGGTAATCATCCATGTACCTTTCTGTGAGGCATCCTGAGGCCTCTAGTTGCAAGATTCTTGGTTTTCAACTCCTTAGGACTGCCTCTCATTTCACTATGCCTTCTTGGGCTCTCTCCAGCACAGAAACACTTTGTTATCAAGTATTTCTACCAAAAGCATGAAGGTACTTATTAAGAAACAGGATTGTAGAGAAATTTGTCCTCTGGGAACATTTTCACAAAGAAAAGAAGTGTTCCATACTAACTTCTGTTCATACAGTATCTCAAAGTATTCCTATCCTTTTTCCTGTGAATTTGAGGGGGAAAAAAGTGTTGAGTTACTTCAGTGGCTGTCAGTTTAGGACTGACTGACACCTGATTAAAAAAAAAAAAAAAAAAAGGTAGAACCACTAGGTATATTATCTCTGCTGCTGTGAGTGATGCCCCACCAGGGCTCTTCTAAGACACACATGTCTTCAGAGGTTCTCTCTCCAGCACCTAGTACTGTGCCTTGCCTGTTACATCTTCAAATTCCTCACTTTTTCCTGTAAGGGCTCTGAGCATTTCCATTTTTCTCCTGAGACTCACAATATGTGAGGCTTGTTTCCTATGTAAGTAGGCAGTGAAATTAATGTATTTCCACACCTTTGTTCCAGGCAAGGTTGAGTGATGACTTTTTTTTCTAAAATACTTTTTGTTTTTCACTTCTCTGAAGCTTTCAAAGACTTTGAACACAATATATAAAGCCTGTGGGCCTTTAGACACGATCAACTTATGTGAATTCAAAGGGGATGTTGCCTGTTGTAAACCTTGGGAGTCATGTTCTCAAAGAGTAGTTTTTCATAATGTGTAGTAGTAAACTCTTTGTGCCATTACACCTGAAGGTATTTTTATTGAGTATAAAAAATTTGGCAGAGGACAGCAACTGGACAATATCCTATCAAATTATTTAGATGCTGGCATTCACAGACAATCGGAATGTGCTTTTTATGAAACATAGCGCTGCTGGCTCCTTGCTCAAAAAGTGACACCACCGCATCTGAAATCACCATGCATACATAACTCCATACCAAGAGCTTTCCATTCTCTTCTCTTCAGGTGACTTCCCAAGGAGGTTTTGGGCTTTGGCAACTCTGAAGCCAAAACACCTGGGGAGGTCTCATGCTTTCGGCACAGCTTTCCCAAGTGGGGAGAGGCTGCGTGGAAACCCTGTTGGACATCCCAGTGTGAATGGCTCTCTCCCTGTCATGTTTCTGAAGGGGCTCCCTAGGGCTCTGGCCCTCCCTCCTGCAGGATGGACAGCCTGCGGGCAGGAGAGCAGGCGGCAGGGAGTGGGCAGGGAGGCAGGGAGTGGGCAGGGAGCCCAACAGCGGGGATGGATGATGGATGGATGGATGCTCTGCCTATGCTCTGCCAACAGCTTGGCAGGGAGGACAGTCACCTGCCCTCAGACCCCATCTCGAAAGGCTGAGCTGGGCTCCTGCCCACATGAGAGCCTGGAGTGTCAGGGCAGAAAATGAAAAACATTCACAGAACTACAGAATATTCTGAGTTGGAAGGGATCCACAAGGATCATTTAGTCCAATTTTTCCGGTCCACTTCGCCCACATGAAAGCCTGGAGTGTCAGGGTGGAAAATGAAAAACATTCACAGAATCACAGAATATTCTGAGTTGGAAGGGACCCACAAGGATCACCTAGTCCAGTTTTTCCCACCTACCCTGCCCCAAACCGGTTTGCTGACGCCCTCTGGGACAGGGCTCACTCTCCATTTGGCCCCCAAAGAGCTAGGAAACAACCTTCTTTTTGAGAGGAGAGTGGCTCCCCACCCCTGCTGTTATTTTAAAGAAATGGGTCTAGTGCTTATTCAGGACCTGTGCCCTGACCAAAGTGAGGCTCCAAGACACCGGCATGCCGACACCAGCTTTCCTGCAGGGATGGAAAAAAAGCTCTTGGACATAGTATGCACCAGTAGTGCATTCCACGGTAAGCACCTGTCAATTCTTCTTTTGGTAGGAAAAGAAAAAAACCTCCTACTCTTAAAAATAGATCATAAGTCATGCAAAGGTACGAAGTTCAGTTGAACTTTCCTTTTGCTCTCTAAGTGTTGTTTTAAATAAGGAAACGAACGATTTTGATGGTTTTAACTTGCATGTGTATGTGCTTAAGTAATACACATCTGCGAAAAGCCTCGTGTATTTGACCTGCATGAGTGTGCTGTGTGTATCCATGCGTATTTATGCACAGACCCCCCCAAAAAAGAAAGCAATGAACGAAGTCGAAATAAAAAACACCGCCCAACACTGAGTAGTGCTGCATGCAGAACCATTTAATAGCTGAACACTATGAATGAAGTTTTTTAAGCCAATCTCGTGTTTTGATATTGAATAATAACAGGTATTTTGTTGCACGCAAGTGGTACAAACATTGGGTAGGCAATGGAAATTCCATAAGAAAAACAGAAAACGAAAAGTGTGAAAAGATGCAGATTTATAACCAAACTCGGTCATTTGTTGTTTTTTCCAAATATCTAGTTTAGAGACACAGAAAACTGTCTTAAAATTAAGAAGCTCGTTGCCCAAATCTTCTGAATGAATGGGATACCTCCAAATGCAAAAACACACAGTAACGAAGCGATCACTAATTGGTTTTTCACATGGATGGCTTCTCCAAATGCAACTGTACAAAATATTTGTGGTAGTTCTCAAATCGTGATGTCTATCAGTATTAAATATTTTAACATTCAATCAACGTTATATACTAATATTAAAATTCTAAGTTAAGTGGGCTGATGAGGGGAGAAGATTTATAGATTGAAAACTTTTGTAAAGGGAATGGCTGAAGTGTTCACTATTTCAGAGCACTACAACGTAAAAGAACTTCAAGGTATCTCTACAATGCAAAGCCTTGCAGGGCGGTGAGCAAGCCGGTAAGGGAAACACAGCATTCTCATTTCTCCAACAAAAAAATGGAGAGGGGAAACGGCAGATTTTTCCATCGCCCCCTCACTCCCCCGAAGCATAGGAGAACCATTTGCTGTTTGTGCTCTGCCCGTCGGGGAGCCTGAGAGGGAGAGCAGGAGCGCTAGCCTTGGCAGTGTTTTGGTTCTTTCCTTTTTTTCTCAGGAAATTGAGCAGCACGTGTCTTCTCGCAGAAGCAGGACACGGGGTGCCCGGGGCGTGCGGGAGGAGCCCCGGGCAGCGGGACAGAGGAAGAGTCTTCCCAGCAGTCGGACACCGGTAGCGCCTCCAACCGCGATCGCTCTCTGGGTGACTCTGCGGCGGGGATACTCGCGGCGGAGATGGGCGCAGGCGGCGAGGGGACAGGGTGCCGGCGGGGGCGGCCGAGGGTGGGTCAGCGCGCAGCCCCCTCGGCGGTCCTCCCGGCTCCCGGGAGGGGCGGCGGGTGGTGCAGGTAGCGGCCCACAGCTCCGTGCGGGCCCCCCGCCGCCACGTCGAGCGGGAGGCGGCCGCGGCCGTCGGGCTGGTCGAGGCGAGCCCCGGCCCGGTGCAGCGCCGCCAGCGTCTCCAGAAAGCCGGCGCGGGCCGCGTCGTGAGCCGGGAGGCAGCCGGTGCTCGGGTCGGGGCGGTTGGGGTCTGCTCCGCGCTGCAGCAGCAGCTCGGCCACCCGCGGGCTGCCCAGCATCATCACCTGCGGGGAGAGACAGTGTCAGCGCCTGTGGATGCCGGCGCAGCGTCGAGCTGGCGGTTGGGCGGCGGCGGGACTGGCGTCTCTTTTGGGCATAATTCTCCTATGTCGGCTACTTGTAGTCGTGACCTGCATAAATACTGACAGCCGTATGCGATGATCCATACGGGTCCCTTGAGCTCGAGGCAGTCTGCCATTATACAAATAAAAATAAAAATACTAGCTACGATGCGTGGGGTTTCCAGACCAGGTTCTGCATATGTGTATGTTCTTTTTCGCATATTATGCCATTTATATATACCATGGTAGAAATGGTACTTGTGGTATGTGTAAAATTATATATACGTACATGCAGACCCGGCTATGTATGTGTGCACCTATATATGCACACGAATATATATATCGTCTATGTACCACCTATTATATAATAAATAGTGTATATATAGGTACTACAAGTAAATTTATACATATGCATATATTAAAAATTCATTAAATATATTTATACACATAAATAGTCTGTATATATGTGTATATATATATGTATATATTTCTATATTATGCATACACACCCTGTATTTTGTGACAGCCCTGAGGAGCCCTGCATTAAGGCTTCTGCCACTTAGAATGCCTTATTGATTTATCAATGACCAGCGCAGCAAGCCAGGCTAGGCAGCTGTGTGTGGTTCCTTTCGGCATCCAGTGTGGAATTTTCCAATTTTTCTCCTCCTGAGTTTTGGATCGAAATGGTTTTTCTTTGTTTTTTCATTCTCTCTCTCAGTTTTGGCTTCTTTTCAGAAATGTGAGGGAAGTTGCTGTGTGCTCATAAATAATGCGCAAAACTTTCCTGATGGCAAGTTCCTAAAGACATCTTGCTTTTCGGTCATTAGCAAAAACTTTTTGCAAGTTCTGATCATTCACGATTGAACAAAATCAAACAAACAACCAACAAATAAAATAAATTTGCATTTGGGTGTTTACTTCCATCATTGTCCTGGTCATTTTCAGTGGAATTTTAAACTCCATAAATTGCAACTTCACATTATGGAAAAGATCTTAAGACAAAAGGTTTTTCACGTTATTTTCTTTCTCAATACTTTGTTTATGCACTTCAAATAATTGTGTTTATTTATAATCAAAGTCTGAAAATGCTTACAAATTTCATCATTTATAAATTTCTTATTTAAATTTTTTCAGAAAGAAAAAGAGTGTCCACATATCAGAATGTCAGACATTTTGCAAGTGTTGAAAAGGGAAACAGAACCCAGTCTCACTCTGAAATGAGGGAAAGAAAGAGAAAACTTCTAAGAATTTGGAGATTCTTTCCATCAGGAGTTTAAACATACAACAGAAATAAAACGAATAATTTTCTCAGAGCCTTTCTCAGTCACTTACTTTAGAAAAACATTTCCTTTTCCATGTAAAGTGTAAAGACCAAAATGGCTGTTCAGCTTAGCTGATGAATCATTAAATATATCGCTTCAAATGGCAACTCGAGAATTCTTTTCATGAGGTATACAACTCTAGCTTAAATCACAGTACATTAATCGTTCAACAAACAGTAAAAACTTTTAACTTAAGTATGTCGATTAACAGAACACATTTTAGCTCTCAAAATGCCTGGAAAGCAACTCTACACACGGGTACTTTCAATATCTATCAGTGAATACTACCACTATTGATGAATAGAGAATATTAAAATTACTACTACTAAAAAAAAAAAAGAAGTGGCGACTCCTAATATATACCTAGTTTCAAGTTAAAATTTCTATCAGTATAATTGACACATAGCCTTCTCTGCTGATGTTGCTCATGAATATATTAGTAAGGGACTTCGATTTCCTTGGGGAAAAAAAGACCCATTCAGGCTATATTTCAAAAAACCAAGAAAAGTTGCTCAAAGTGCAGTCAGCTCCCCAAACCCAACTGGAAGAGGATTTTGCAGTCTCACTTCTCCTTTTAAGTACCCCCTCGCATAATTCGTTTTACTGCCAGCGGTTCCCCTCTAAAATCCATCTTGTATTTTCAGGATGGCAGGGGTTAAGAAAAGCACCCGTTTGTATCCAGCTGCGTCTGGAGTACGGTTCCGATCATAACAATAAAAATCCATTCGAAATCCAAAATATCCACCCCTCCTCGCTGGCGTGGGGGAGCACAGCTTACCCCCGCAATCCGGCTGCTCCCCCGCTCCCCACCCCCCCCCCCCCCCCCCCCCTCCCTGGAGCGGGGTTCTCCCAAAGCAGTTGGTTGCGTTGGGATCCACGCCTGCGTCCAGCAGCTTCCGCACCTCCTCGCGGTCCCCGCGGGCGGCGGCGGTGCACAGCCGGTCGCCGTCTCCCCGGGGGGACCCCTCCATCGCCCCCCGCCGACCCGAGCCGCACGGCCGCCCCTGGCTTTCTGGCTCTGCCGGCTGCGACCTCGCCCGTGGCGACGACGCAGCTCCTCCTTTTCCCAAGAGCAGCGACTGCCCCCCTCGCACTCCCAGGCAGGGGCCCCCGGGCCGCGGGCACAGCTCCGGGCCCGCCTCCCCGCCATGCACACCCACGGCGGGGCGGACACTGCGGCGTCCGCTCGCTCCCGCTTCCCAGCGCTCCTGGCGGCTGCCGTGAAATCCACGAACCTCGCACGGGTGGGGGGGCACGGGGAGGCTGGTGAAGGACCGCGGGATACCGGCAGCCTGGTCCGCAAGCTGAGAGCCGGGGCCAGTACAGCACGTCGGCAGGGGAGCCCGGTTTCACCCGCACCTGGAGTGCGGGGCGGCTCCCGCGGGGGATTCCGTCCGTACAGGAGAAAGAAGGGGATAGGGCTGCGGCCCCACACCCTCCCCATAATGGGATCGGTGGTGAAGGGAGGCGAGGGGGGCAAATGGCTTCTCTAGGCTGCCCGGGATGGTGGCAGCTGCCTCGACGCGGGCAGGTGGGACACGCCCCGCGAATATCTGACTCGGGGGTACGACGACGCGAAGAGGGAACGACGGACCAGAGCCTTTCGGGGACAGAAAGGGGCTTTTGTACGAGGGATGGATTTGGTTTCTGCGTCCGAAAGGGGGCCCTGCCCTGCCCTGCCCGAGCCCCTCCGAGAAGTGGGTCGGGGGTCCCTCCCTACTACCCGCGCCGGCCGGGAGCAGGAGGACCGAATGAGGAAGAGAGCCGTGCCCGCAGGAAGTCTGCGATCCACCTCATGACACCGGGCAGAAGAGGACCGCTTAAGTTCGGCCCTGCCGAAGACTCCCGCGGGCAGGAAAACCGCAGCGGTAGCCCTCCGGGGTAAGGTGCGGCTCTAGACAGACGGAGGCTAGGCAGAGCCTGGCCTTTCCGCTGTGAGAGTCCTCAAAATCCAAGCACCTGGTCCCTCCCCTTGCCTTTCCATCTCCCCGTTGCAGGCCCTGAGGACGTCCGTGACACATACCCCCGCTCCAAGCAACCCCTCCTGTCCCGCGTCGGAGGGGAGCGGGGGATCGGCACCCACGATCCGCGGTGTGAAGCTTTTATTCTGTCACCTCGAAGTTCCGGACAGACGTGGGTAAAAGGCAAGGGGAATAAGGACGTCTTTTCGTTTTTTTTTTTTTCCTTTTTTCCCCCCTTCCCCTCCCCCGCCCCACCCCTTCCAATGTCAGTTCCCTAATCTTTTCTTAATTGCTGAAGACCAGTGTGATGCCACAG